TACATTGCATAAGCAATTTAAAATTTTGGATCAGCTCCTTTTTGGACGGAGCCGTGTATTAAAATCAGATTAAGTCTCCTTGGCAGCTTCTGCATGATCACGAGAGGGAGCGTGCTAGATATGTCAGAGGGCTGCATGCTTTTCCATTTTGGGGGGTAGTGGAGAGGGCTAAACAATAAACTCCGCAGTAGCTGGTACCGTGACTGATCCAGAGCACAACCATGCAGTCTGTAGCCAGATTTATGTGCCCAGAGCCTGTTGCAAGTGTAAAGAGTTTTCTGTAGTTACTTATGCCCTCCCCCTCCCCACCCCCCACACACCCTCAGTCTCATAACCACAGATTACAAAACAGCTTTGATTGTGCCTTTCTCTCACTGGTTTATTTGACTGCAGGGAGCTGGGGAAAACTGTTGTTTGGGTTCATAACAAATAATAGTTGAAGACTTAGTCAATCTCATTTGCCCCTGGTGCATGTGCCAGACAGAACTAGGCAGGTCTTGCCACAAGCTAGATTGATGTGCACCCTGTGGCTCCCGAAGCAAACACTAGCACTGGAGATTTCCAGTTTGGCATGGGACATTGACTGTGGGGACATATGTGGCAACTTTCTTTATTAACTGTGAGCTGCTGACAGTTTGAGTGCAGATAAAGGGTGAGAAATAAGGAGAGAATATTTTATAAACTGAGGGTTTTTTTCAGCTTGGAAGGATTTATTATTACCAGAGGAATTAGTGATGAGGAAACAGTGGAGAATATAAGATTGTATAGCTGTCAGTCTACAAAAACAAAGTATTTCAGAAATTTTACAATGTGTAAAAATCTATCTATGCAGGTGAAAGTTCTTGGGTATAATACCCAGTAATGTATCTTTTATCTCTGTTTAACATGAAATAACTAATTATCTGCTGGGCATGCACTTTGCCAGATGTAGTTTTTGCATTTTAAATTCCAATCTAAAAATGTTATTCCAAGAAGGAGGCTCTTTTTGCCCTTCTTTTTTATACCCCAATGCAGACATTTCTGAGAATTTGTAAGTTTGCTGCAACACCACTATACGGTGAACATTTTCTGCAAAGTTTGGAAGTGGGAAATGGATTGTGATGAAATAAGAGTGCGTTTTCCATGATGTTTCTTGAAATCATATTTACTGAGTTTGCATCTCTCATATCTATATCTGTATT